GCGCTCCGGCCCCGGCTCCGGCTCCGGCTCGGCTCGGCTCGGGTGCGCCGCGGCCATGCAGCGCCGGGGCGCCCTGTTCGGCATGCCGGGCGGCAGCGGCAGCAGGAAGATGGCTGCAGGCGACATCGGCGAGCTGCTGGTGCCCCACATGCCCACGATCCGTGTGCCCCGGTCCGGGGACAGGGTCTACAAGAACGAGTGCGCCTTCTCCTACGACTCCCCTGTAAGTGGGGCGCCGGGGGGAGGGTCGCGGTGCCGGCGGCCTGCGGCGGCTGCGAGCCGCGGAACTCGGCGGCACGTGAAGCAGGGAAGATGCGCAGTGGCGCCGGGGACCTCCTCCGGCGGGCGGCGGAGTTGGCTCGGGGGCACTGCAGTCGGGCGAACACTTGGTGAGCGCCCCGAGGCTGCTGCAGCCCGAGACCTGGTGGCCGCGGCGGTTCGCCCCGCCAGCCTCCCCAGGCGGAAAGGGCCCCGAGTCCCAGCAGCGCGCCCACAGCCCCGCCACCGTTTGGACAAGACATGGAATGGAAGAGTTCCCTGTGGGGAACTGCACGCTGCCTGTCATTTGCGTCCTCCCCGGGCCAGAGCGGAGGGCTGGTAGGTGGACGGGGTCGATCCCCTCAGACGCCCGGCCCTTCTGTTTCTAGGACCAATTGCTCTCCCCAGGGATCCCCACTCCTGGACAATTCCGATTTCCTCTCTGAGCGTTTCTTGCTCTACTTCCCATTTCTCCCCACTCCTTTTCTTCCCATTAGAATGTCAGAAGAAACCTTCGGGTGCCTCCACTCGGGCAGCAGAAATAGGGGATCTACTGGATTAGGATGGCTTTCTCAGGCCTTCCCCCCTTCCCCTTCTAAGTGAGTCACTTGGACTGACACGCACTAGCATAAATTATTAAAAGTTCGATCCCGAGTCGTGACATCAGAGACTGGAGGGGGACGTTAAGGCAGATTACCGCCTTCCACGGTGGTGGTGGTTTTCACCGGGTTGTATTCGAATGTGTGAGAAGCAGAAGGAGGGTGAATGTCCGTTTCAAGAGTCAAATGGGCTTCAAAGTGACTCAGCTGTCAGACGTTTATCATGTCATTTTGAGGACCAGGTTATTTTTATCCACCCACTTGAGATCTCATATGTCACCCAGCAGATCTCAATGCATCGAGAGGTGCGTGGATTGGAAGGACAAAGGCAGGACTCAAAACAATAGTCTAACACATTTTATTCATAGTATGTAGAGTAACGTTGAGGTTAAAAAAAAAAACAAAAACAAAGAAAAAACCAAATGAGCGGCAAATTTTCCAAAGTTTTCTTTAATATTTTTGTGGGTTGATTTTGGCTGGTTTCAAAGCATTTTTGTTTGATATACATGGGAGTCCCAGAATTAGTGTCCTCTCTGTGACATTTAGTTTTTCTTTTATGCTAAATTCAGATCATTTGGGGGATAAAATCTAATTTATTGATTGATTACTTATTTTTTTGTCTTTTGAAAAAATCCACGTAGAGTGGAGTGAAATGGGTTGTATTTAATATTTAGCATATTGTGATCACACTACTTAAAGTGACTATCAGCAGTGCCATTATGTCCTGGTATCCACAAAGTATCTGAAAGTGCCATTTGCAGATCAAATATAGCTCGTAAGGATGTAGAGGGATGATGGTCCTAACTAACTTAAGCAATTGATAAACTGTGAACTCCAGGAAGAAGGTGGCCCAAGTCTTTTAGGATAGCATATGTAAAATGTAAAATGACTTTATCCATGTTTGATTTGGGTTGTTCTTTAAGTTCTGCTTGCAACTTTGTTGTTGGAAATCTTTATGTTGTGTAGTGTATGGCAGGTGTGAAAAGAAACAATTATTTTAATTCACTTCCACAAACAGTTATTGGGAGCTTACTGTGTGCCAGACACTATTCTAGAAACATGATGTAAAATGATGATTTCATTCCAGTGAAAAATGATTTCATTTGTATCACAGTAGTTCTGTGGGGGAGACTGGGATTATTTACAAAGCTGATGAATCAGTATATTTCATTATCTGTGTTTCAGGGGAGGAAAAGAAGGAATGTTTTGTAACAAGGTACTTTAAAGCACAGTGCTTGATAATGTGAAGTCTTTCCTTATGATACTTTAGACTTCACTATGAATCCAGTAAGGGTTTCTTTAGCACCTACTGTGTGTCAACTCATAAAAACATGGCTGTAAAAACCATAGAGAGCAAAATCCATCGGTGCTAAACACACTAGAAACTTTAATCCACAAGAGCCATGGGACTGTGGTAGAGAAAAGGCCGAAACCCATTGAGTGAAAAAAAAATCACCTTTGTAGTGGATACTTTGGAGGAATTTCATAGATAAAGATGGATAGAAAATAAAGGAGACCAACATTCCAGTCAAGGGAAATTACATGTGAAAACACATAAAGTGTGAATATTTTCTACTAATTTGCCTGTAATGTACTTGGAAGAAAAAGATTGATTTGACAAGTAACAAGGAGTGAGGTCAGAACCAAGTGGAGAGTGGATGATGGGAGCCTTGAATCCTGGAGAAGTATTTGATCTTGATTTTATGCAATCAGCTTTCTATAGAAAGCTAATCTAGGTAATGTGATTTAAAGTGGTGTTGGAGGAAGACTGTGCATTAATAAATTTGTATTGTGTACCTACCATGTCTATGGCATGGTATGAAGACCTTTGCTATTTTTCATCTTTGTGGGATGTATGTTTTAGTATCTCTCTTCTTCCTTGTTTCCCAACTTCTCGGGCTTAGTGCATACATAGCAGGTGATCAATAACTGCTATTTTGGGATGAATGAGAATTTGTCTTTTTACCTACCTCCCTGGTTTCATCCCAGGTCCACCCTTCCACCTTGATGTGTAGGTTCACCTCTCCATGACTTAGTTTATCTCACAAAGTCTGTAATGCACCTTCCTAACAGAGTTTGTTTTCAAGACTCAATTCAAGTGTTTTTTGATCTGTGAATCATTTCCATATTGTCTCCCACTAGACCCCATAAGCATCTCTACTGAACAACCAAGCGACATGTTTATATGCCTATCTGCCTTTGAGTGTGACCTTCCTGGACAGTGAAGACGTGGTCTTATTCCCAGCATCTGGTATAGATACCCAGAACTGGATGAATGTTTAGGAAATGTATGAATTACGTGAGGTTATAGGCTCTGCAGATGGTGAGGATACAATATATGAGAAATGTTAGAAAAGGACTCATGTGGGATTATCATGTAAGATGTGACTTCATTGTCTGTGGGAGACAACTGTGAAAGAGAGCCTGACTGACTCTATCACCCAGCTGTGCCCCAGTTTCTCCCTCTGTAAAATGGGGACAATAACAGAACCTATATTAAGGAGTTGTTTTGTGGAGTAAATAAATTAATATGTAAAGTGTGCCTGTCCAATTAGTATTCTCTACACATAATTGCTTTAAAAAAGGAAGAAAGAAAGAAGGAAAGAAAGAAAAAAGAAGAAAGGAAGGAAGAAAAGAGAGAAAGAAAGAGAAAAAAAGGAAAAGATTCAACCACAAGTTGTAAGTCCAGGAGTGTGGTTGTCAGGTGCTGTGTAGAAAGTTCCTCGTGGTTAAGTGGAGGCATTATCTTGATTCACACGCCTTCATGGACCACCATGGAAACCTCTTCTCCTCTCCTTGATTGTTGAGCTCCTCCTTTATCTGGGTGGACTTTGTCCTGCCTCTCTTCAGTTTCCAGTTGTCAGCTCTGGTGAGGCCTCTCTCTGGTGCTTCCACGTGTGAGTCTCATTTCTTTTTCTAAGACTACCTTTCTCTCATGATCATTTTTCAGGCCTCTTTCTCAACCTTCCCCTTCTAGAAGCTTCAGACTTCACCCTTACTTAGCGTCTGCCATGCAACACAGCAGTTAGTTGTGGTCTGTCTTCCACAGAGTGCTGTCATTTCATTTTCTTCCACTCTTTTGACTCTTATCTTCAAAGCATCTGTTAGGTGTGAAGCCTTGTACCAAGCGTTAGATACCGGTGAGGAGCGTGCCACTCTTGTGCTGAGGGTGCCCCCTGCCCTCCTGTACTGTGAGTGGAGAGCTTGCTAATACCTTGTCTTAGCTGGGGTCAACTGAAATGCTGAGGCTGAGACAAGGCTTTGGAACAGGCAGTTTATTTTGGAACGATATCCCAGGGAACAGAAATGGAATAGTGACCAAGGGAATAGTGACAAAGGGAAGGAAGGAAAGCCAATCCAAGAGTGAGTTATTGAGCTGGCTTCCACAGTGGACAACTGGTGCTAAATCCCACTGGGGAACTGTAGGATACGCCTCAGAAGCATCCACTTGAGACATGGCAGAGGGGAGTGTTTATCCACTGGCCCCCACTCCCAGTGGTCGAGGGTTGCTCTAGGGGTGGAAATGCCCTCACTTTTCCAGGTTTGTATTTGTCTGCAAAAGGGAGAGCAGGCTCCCACAGGCTGCCCACGGCCAGCAGCAGCAGAAAATCAAGAGATCCTCCGTGCGGCTGAGGCTAGGACTGTCAGGCCACACCTGCAGTGACGATCAGCTGCACACAGTGGCAGAACCAAAAAGGTGGCCGAGGGAATGTGAGACTCAGCATAAACAGTGGCTCCACTCCCCCACACCTCTTCTTCCTGCCAGTATCAGAACTATTTTGGAAGAAGAAACTTTTTTTTCCCATTCTCCGAGGCTCTGAGATGGCTTGCTGTCATGGTTGGTTTTCCGCCTTCTTGGGAGTCTTTACAAAACCTTGATGGTCGGGGGCCTGGTGGTAGTGGCTGGTTAGATATCTACCGGGAAAAGCTTTGAGATCTCCATCAACTCATGGAAAAACTTCATGTTAGGGATTCAGTAAATCCTTCTTTCTGTCCTTCCTTCCACAAGTATTTATGGGTGTGCCTGGTATTGTCTCGGGCATTGCCAGAAATAATGACAGCTAACATGTATACAGAGCAGTGGTTCTCAAAGTGTGCTCCCTGACTAGCAGCAACACCAGCATGCCATGGGAACTGTTAGAAATGCTAATTCTTGGGTCCTACCCCAGACCTACTGAAACAAATTGTGGGGGTTGGGGTCTAGCAATCTGTGTTTTAATAAGTTCCCCAGGTAATTTTGATGTGTGCCCAAGCTTGAGACCCAATAACAGGGCCTTCACTAGGTGCCCAGCATCATACTAAGCATTCTAAGCATATATTTTCCAACTTAAATGAACTCATTAAATCCTCACAACAACCCCATTTG